AAGCACTGTGGGGCTGTGCCAGACTCCTCCTGGGGTGAGAGCCCCCAGATCTGCATGCCAAATGAGAGGAGACTGCTGGCAAGTGCCAGGAGTTGTGCTTGGAACAGTTTGAGGTGCAGTTTCCCAGAAACCTCTGTACCTATCTCCTTGAAACTTGGGTAGGCTTCATGCCCTCAGAAGAAGCTACCATCCCTGCAATTTTCATCCAAATCAGGCAAGAAATTACAAAGTTTTAGGCATTTTCATGATTACCCACCCATTATAGCCTATGGACAAAACGTCGAAACATGTCGAAATAGCAAAACTGTTGTGTTGAAATGAACCAGGACAGTGCTTTGAAATGAAACAAAATGACAAAACGGAACACTGTTCCTTCAAAATGGTGAAACAGACGTCGAAACAAGACAATGGTGTTTCGCACAGTCCTAGCGTCCACCGTTCTGGACAGTGCTACACTGTAGTAATAGAACATGGAACTCAATTGCAATGTAACTAGCAGATAAGCCCAATCAAAATGTATATGCATTTACAAATATTTAGAAACATTTAATGGGTGTGGTGGGAAGAATTTATGCTGGTTTACAAAAGGACTCGTTCTGCTACCAGTAAATTAATGGCAGTGTTACCTTGGATTTCAGTAGAGCAAGAATGGTCTGGAATGAACGGAATAAAAAAATGCAATGTACATAATTTTAAAATAATGTCTTAAATTGGGTTAATGCCCCCCCCAAAACTTTTCATTATACACTACAACCTGAAACACTATGACACGCTATTATGACACACTGACTCAGCACCCATTATAATAATGTCCTAGGTAGAAACAGGAAACTATACAGCATTATGAAAGCATTTTAGTATCCCAGATACCTGTGGAAGTTTCTAGAAGTTTGTGATGTCATACACACGTCATAGGCAGGTGGCTATGAGTATTCAACACCCATCTATTTATAAAAAACATTTCATAATAGGTAATAAAATGCTCCAGGCAGCACATTTCTAAAGGTTATTGTACATGGTGGTAGCTAATGACTCTTTGTGTTTGATCTTGTGCTTCATGGCACTAGCTAGTGCATGTTATAATGATAATCAATTTAATAAATTGCTCTTCACATTTTAATGCTCCAAGTGTCCCATGCAATAGTTGTCCTGGGATTCATATAAAAGTAGTTGGTAGCTTCTGTCCAGTTCTTTGTGGGTGGATTCCCAACTCCTTCATGAGCTACTCTCACATTTACTCTTCCATCTTAGAAAAATGTAATGATACATTTTGTATCATGGTTGGTCACTACATGTCCAGGTTAAATCACCTCATAGAGAAGTTTGCATCAACAAGATTACTGATTTGTATTTGTATCCCACTTCCGGGCAATTTAAATACAATGCTTATTATAAACCTAATACATACTACTGATCAGCAGGGATCTGGGTTTTCTGTGTCACAGGAAAACATGGACATTCTCCTTTAAAGGGAAAAACCCAGGAAATGACTGGTTCCCCCTTGTAGCCTGGCAGAGTTCCAGCCTGCAAGGGGCTGTTTGGGGCTGGGGGAAGTGGGATGCAGGGGGCGCCATCACGAACAGCGTGTGCCCCTAGTGGCTGGGGGAACAGGTGGTATGGAGGGAGGGATAGGGGGTACATGCCCCCCCCCCAGATTTCTGTGTCCACAGCAGGTCATGGGGCTGCAACTGGGCCACACCAACTCCAGGCAGGAGCTGCCTCTGCAGCCCAGTGGGTGACACTGAGCATGGGAGCGAGTGCCACAGCTACCATGGCCACTAAGATGAGGTGCTTCCTGTCTGCCCAGCAGCAGCAGGGAACAACTCTACACTGTCACCGTGCCTCACATTGGCAGGCATGGCAGCGCGGTGCTCCATTTTGTGCCAGGTCCTGCCCATGGAGCTGTGGAGGTGGCTCCTGCCTGGAGCTAGTCTGTTTCAGCTGCAGCCTTGCACCCTGCTGTGGGCACAGAAATCTGGGGGGGGAGGGCATGTGCTTCAGGAGTGAGGGGCACCAACAGGGTTGAGGGGGTCTGTGGGTCAGGAGGGGCATATCAGGGCTGCTCAGCATCACAAAGCAGTGGGGGTGAAGTTGCGGGGGCGGGGAAGAGACAGCCACAGCTGGACCTGCATCCTGGTGAGCAAAGGGGGCAGGGGGATCTCTGCTTTTCCATGATAAAAAAAACAAAATCAAACACCAAAATATATAGGTATTTAGAACTGAATTTATTATAATGATTGAGGTACTAATAGGCTTCCAAACTGCTTTTAAATTGTAAATCTATCAATAAGACATTGTGTTCAACTGATACCTATGTATATAATTATGTTTCATTTTAAGTACGAAAACGTGCAGATTTTAGGTTTTTTAATCAGAGAATTTGAGATTTTTAAACAGAGAAACCAGGATCCCTGCTGATCAGTAAACTAGTTAAGACTCCTACCATTGAAATGTGAGTGAACTGTTAACCGCAGAGTTGGGGCATTGGCAGAACATCTTAAATTTCCTCTTTAAAACTTAATAATGACTGCTTCTAATTTTAATTGATAGAATTAATCTCCTTTTGTCCCCTCTAAAAGTTTCTGTACTGTCATTTGACAACTCCTGGGAATACTGTTATTGTGTATGGTGGGAAATTAAGGCTGTCACCACAGCAGATATGGACAAGAATTGAGATGCAGGAAAGAGCGTAAAACCCTAGACTGGATGATACTGCTTTCATCTGAAACTGTTATATTATCATAAAAATTAAATCTATTTTCAGTGCCTCAGTGCAGGTCCTCTGGACAGAACTGAATTTCACCTTGAACAGCTGCAATTAAGGAGGAACTTCTGAGTTCTTACCCCAGTTCTGACGGGGGGGACCTCACATTTCTTATTCCAAAGCAGTCCGTCTCAATCTGAGGGTCTCTCAACTTCTTATAGTGGAACCTGAATTTTAAAACAGAGGCTCTCACAGGTATCTTTTGTACCATTCACAAAGATCTAATTCCTGGGATAACTATCACAATTAGTACTGAGTAGGTGCGTCTACACAAGACACTACTGAGCAGCAACTCGTTACTACTGTACAGTAGCATCTGAAAAAACGATGTGAGCAAAGTACTAAATGATTGCGCGGCAACAGCTGCTCATGCCACTGTTTTAACTATCCTGTGTAACAGCTGGAAACATAGTTAAGGATAGTGACTGTGGGGTCTGGATCAGACGAGAAACTGAGATGCATGTCACTAATGGCATGTCACCTACCTGCTGATGCACCTCTCTGGTGAGAATATGCCCCACACCTTTTTGAAGCTAGCTAAACCTTCAGCTTCCACAACATCCGATGGCAATTAGTTCCACACTTGAATGACACGCTGTGGGAGAAAGACCTTCCTTCTGTTGGTTTTAAACTTACTACCTGCTAGTTTCATTTTGTGACCCCTAGACCTTGTAGTGCAAGAGAGAGTAACTAATAAATCCCTATTGTCTTTCTCTTTGCCATTTAGTATTTGGTAAATCCTTGTCATGGTCCCCCTCAGGTGTCTCTTTTCCAAACACCCCTCAGGGCTTGCTAGAAGGCCGCTGGCTGCACGAGCATTTTGGGATGCTTGGCACGACCGGCCCCCACCGGTGGGCAAGCACTGATGCCTTTGGACAGGGATGGTCCAGCTCTGACAGCTGCAAGGCCCTGGTCCATTTGGCCAGTGCTGGGGCAATGGACAAGCGTGAGCTGGCGGCGAGGGCAGGCCGCCGGGCAGTACTGGGCGCGGTTTATGTCTCTGCTCAGGGCGAGCCCGAGCACAGCGCACTAATTGGGCCGAGGAAGTAGTTTCAGCCCGGGGCCACGCTACCGCACGCTGGGGCGGGGGTTGCTCTGAAGCGGGCAGGCCTCTGCCTGGGGTCTCCACTGCCAGCTGACACCGGCGCAGAGCAGCACGAGGCTGCCGGTGCCCTGCGGAAGTGCGTTGGGGCCTGGCCAGACCGCTGCGGGCGGGAGAAGCACCAGGCAGCAGCGCAGCCGGATCCTCCCCCGGGCTCCACGGCCGCGCCCCGCGGCGCCGCGCCCCGCCCAGCCCAGCACCTGGCTGCCG